AATCCTCTTGGCTGCTTTGAGTGGCTTTTGTGTGCAGGCAGATTCGATAACGTGCCGGCGAAACAAATCCGAGAGCCTGGCCGACCACTAGTTTGGCCCAGGCAGCGCACTTTGTTTTCGCCCGAAATTGAATCTGCGGGCTTTCAGAGCGGCGGTTATGCAACGCGCCGCGCACACGCGTCCGTCCTGCACGTTCGACGGCGGCGGGAAAGGCAGAGCAAATATGGCGGCCGCCAGTTGATTTTGCGAGGAAGACGCCTGCGACGACGCTCTTATTGGTATCCAGCTTTATGAGAGTTTACTTAAAAGGGTGGCGCTCGCTCGCCCGGACGGTAAACAAGCAGACCGACGAGGAGTTGCAACACACCGATGAATGGCGGTGGTGGATATGACAGGGCAGTGCAAAAGCTTTTCAAATCTCTACTGACAATAGGACAAAATTTTACTCTAATGTTTACTTGAAATTTCTCAAATTAAATAATAACTTGCCTGTTCCATGGATATATTTTGAATTAAAAATTAATTTAAAAAATAAATTTAATGCTTTTGTACATTTAAATTTTATTATTGATTAATTTCATGTCATTTCAATCTAGAAATTTTAAAATTGTCAGAAACTTTAATTTGCAACATATTTTCAGCGGATGTTTGAATTATAATTAGTGCAAAATATGATTTTTTTCAAAACTTTAATGGCAAGTTTTCTTTTCCTGTCCATCCCTCTTGGGAAGTTAATTATGTATTTATTATTAGGTTCATATTTTTATTTTTATCTGGTTGCAAAAATATACCGGGTTTTAATTCTTTGAATGAATATATGCACATCACACCCAGGAAAACGCGACCTTATTGAAAATTTGTGACACTGCCACGGTTGGTGTGGATGATTTTAAGAGCGTGTCGGCGCAGAAAGAGAAAATCGTGAGTCGGCGGCGCGAGAGTGAGTCGCGATAATAATTACATCAGGCTGCTGGTGACAGCGAAAACTCGCGCCTCGCACGCCTGCCAACCTCCTTCCTCTGCATTTTACGCTTTTAAACGACTTGTCACTCGTTGGCGCCGACGCCGCCTTCGGAAAAACGCTACGTGTCAGCGTTCCTCTTTCACCCCTTGGCTTTTGCTGCAGATCGTCGCCGCGCTTATTTACAACTTTTTCGGCTTTTGCCAGCAATCAATTAGTTTTCAACAAACGAACCTGCGAAAAAAAAACACCGTTCAAAGCCAAAGTTCAAAGGCCAATCAAACGGCGCGCGCACTCGCCAATTTTCCGGCAGCGCGAAAATTTTAATAAGGCCGTGTGTATTTTGGGACTTGGGAGCGAATTGTAGCTCCTGCCAGCCTGCCTGCGAAAATGACGTCGTCATTAGCGAGCACTATCGATCTCCGCGGCCGAAGAAAAAAATATTTCTCCAAGCGTTTGAGCTAAAGGATGGCGAAGGAATTATTACATGTTTGAAAATATTCCTTGCCAAACGCAGAAATTTTAAATTTTATTTCACGATCTTATCTAATCTACTCTGATTATAAATTTGAAGAAAAATGAAGTTTTTTTTTTAATCATGAAAAGAAAACTTAGTAATTTTGATGGGTATATTATTACTATCGACACAAACGTGCAGTAATTGCATCACCCCGCCCTTAATTAAATTGCCAATTTTTCATAAAAATTTTTGAACATAAAATATAAAAATTGACTTTTATATGAAGAAAATTCGCCTTAATTTTCAAGAGGAAACAACAGAATAATTATTAAACGTAAACCCCTTGTTTGCCAATCGAGATGGAAATTCTTTGTTTTTCTTAATAGACAGAAAATTTGCTCAAGAACACGGAGCCCCGCAAATAAGCTTCCTTTTTTTCTCCGAAAGGAAAAATTGGAAATAATCACCATTTTTTGCTTCCCTCTCTGAAAGAAAGGCGCTTTAATATTGGAGCTGTGTTGTTGCTCTTCATTGTGTTCACTCAAGTTTTCCCAATGTAAACTCTGATGATAAATACGCACCCCAGTAGCCATTTTTTTTTTTTACAGCAGACGCTTTCTGAGCCCTAAGGAGTCGAGCTGGCCAGAAGATTCCGCACGTTTGGGCCTCAACGGAGAGCAGGTTGCTGATTTTTGACGAGTTGGCTGGTTGAGCTTCTAAGATAAGAACACGTACGTTTCAACTCTGCTCTCTGGGATTTAAAAAAAAGTTAGGCACCACTGGACCAAAAATTAATCAACGAAAGTTCTTTCCGTGTGAAATGCCTACTGCCGATTGCAAAAATTATCTTGAGCGTCAACGTCTCATGAAAGTGTCCGAAACAAGCAGGAAACAGGAAAATAATAAAATAAAAATATGCCATAGAAGTGAAAAAAATGTATTAATTTGTAAATTTTAAAACAATAAAGTATGACTGATAAATATTAATTTTTAAATTTTGGAAATCTTAAAAATAATTTAAATTCAAATTTTTTTGCTATATTTCTTAAAAACAAAATATTCTAGTTATTAGCTTCAATTTATAACATTTTATTAATATATCAGACTTAAAAAATTAAAGTAATTTATAATTAAATAAATTATTTAAAATTACCTAAAAAAAATATTAAAAATAAAAAATTAAAACATTTTTAAAATTATTCCTTTTCAATCTTGGTGGCAAAGTGCAGATTCAATTCCTGCGGTCAGACTGGTATTCTGCTGCTACAGCTGATTAACGTTCTTTGAAACATTTCCAACAAAACTGTGGTCGGCCAAGCAATCTGGCGATGGCTTCCAAGAACGGCTCTCAGAAATAAATTTCTTGCGCAGCTCAACTTTAACGAACCGTGCAGGAGCAAAAAATAAAGCCTTTTTAATAATAGGAAAAAAATCCAGAGAATAAAACGGGAATTTTTTCCTCTTGTCAGCGCGGCCCGTTTCTGAGCCGATTTTGCCGCATTGGGACGGAAAATTGGTAGTTGGTGCGCGCGGTCGGTTTTTGGGGCGGCCGCTCGCTGGGAAAGTGGAAAGTGCGGGGATTACAAACACCACGGTTATAATTGCGCCTTATCCACTGGTGGCAGTGCCGGCCCCGCCGGCGGATGAGGGATTATGCAGATGGGGTGGAACACTTATAATTTGCTGCTAATGGCGCCGCAGAGCTGCCCGCCCGCCCACCCGTCCGGGATTAGGCCGGAAAAACACCACAGCGTGTCCGACCGACCAACCGGCCGTCTGCGCGAAAATAGCCCGAGAAATGTATAAAAAAGCAAAGTAGGGCGCGTGCTTTCGACAAGGGCCAAATAAGATATCGGAAACCAATCGTTTGCCTGGCGGGACGTGGTGATTGAGTTGCATGCTTGGGCTGTATCGAGGAAAAAATCGGCCCGCTCTGACTGACAGCACTCCTCGGAACAAGCGCTGCTCGGTCGCCGCCCGTTCTCCTCTAGCGTGACACTTTTGATGCCTGCGTATTATATTTGCCTGCTGTCACTCGGGCCCTTCCCGTGGTCTAGGGTTTCGGTGCTGACGACAATCAGCAAGAGGGCTAGACCGTGCTCGCCAAGCGTAAAAAATTCCGTGTTAACAATTTGCATTTTCAACCTAAATTTTTAATAATAGAGCGCTCTAATTTATTTCCCATCCCAGGAAGATGCCTGTGCCTTTTATTTTTATGGAAATTTTTTCTATGGTGATATTTTTTCCTCACTTTAAGAAGAAGAAAAAGGACATTTTAGTCAAAATCTCTTTGTCAATTATATTCCTTAGAATATTTTTGTACTCTTGATTCTTTAATCAAGTTTAATTAGGATTTTTTTTGCTAGAGTCCCGAAAGGGCTAAAAATTTCTTTAATTTACAATGTATTGAATTCAGGATAATTCAAATTCTTCTCCAAATTAAAAGTTTGATTAATCAGATCTTCGAAAAAAAAAATTTTAAATTTTCAAACATTGACTTCTTCAGTTTTCCTTATTTAATTAATATCACCATTTTGTTGTTAATGTAATTATCACGCTTCATTATCCTAGCTCAAGCATTTCAACGGTGTATATTTACCAATTATGTCACGGACGTTGCAACATTAAGATGTTACAAAGGCAAATTACTGTGTACAAAGCCCCATAATTGGGAGTATCGCCGCAGTTACAGAATCATTACAAGGACATTGTCATGAAAATCACGGACGGATCGGACACACACGGATCGTGGCGTGTTTGTTTACAATGGACTGATTGACTCTTGCAGCGGTTTGCATAGCCCCAGCTTAACTACACACTGTGTAGCGTAATGCATTCGAGATGGGCCAACCGACCGACCGACCGACCGGCTCCTAGGGCCAATTAAGACGGAGAAGCGAGACCGCCCAGGAGCTGGATGCAAATTCGCGCGCCCGGAATTAATTTGTGTTAATTAACTCTCTGATTACGGCGGCCGGGTGGCAAAGCAGAAGCGAGCAATTACAGTTACCAATCGCACGGAGAGAATGTAATTATCGCAGTCTGTCAATTGAAAAAAGCAGAGTGGGGAAATTGCAAATGATTTTCTCAGGTTGTTAATTGTTATGCGAAAAGCTAGCAGATGGCTAATTTCACAAGACATTACTGATTATATATGGCAAAATTTCATAAAAAAAATCACTATTTAACCATAAAACATCTGATAAAAAAGCCAATTTTTGGTATAAATTAATTAATTTGAAAGATGAATTAAAAATTAATGAAAAATTAAAATTCAATTTTTCATGAAATGCACCATTCAATTAGAAAATTCATTCTATCAATTGCTTCTTGTTTGAATAAATTATTTGAAACAATTTAAATGAAAGTATAATGCAACAATTCCCGGCCAATATATTTTGAATAACTTTCAAATTTGAATCCTTTTTGTCTTTGAGATGAAACGTGTCAAGGTTCGAACCACATAGATTCCCTGAGGTGTGTTTCTGCGTTTGCCTTTTTAGATAGCGAGGACGCTTTGCAGAGGTGATTTGCGAGCGAGCTGGAGTGGAATTCGGTTTGACAGAGAAAGACACTCACCGACAGGTCGCCGCCATAGAAAGGGTGGATCACGAAAGTCTCGTTGCCAATGTGGATTACGCCACTTACGCCGTTGCACGTGTGGAAGGCCGCCGAAGCCCCTGGGTAGTCTTTGACGGTACCGTGGTAGTAGCACAGCTCGATCTCCTGCAATAAACACAGAGATGAAAAAGGGAAGGAAAGAAATTCAGTCGGAAATTTTATGCGTTAACTTTCGCAAGCTCAAGAACAAGTAAAATTTTATTGTGGCCTCTCGGCCCTCTGGGCGGCAACTTCTTGCGAATCCATCAAGAAGAACAAGCGCTTTCTCCACTTGGAATGTATAAAAATAAAATAAAATTTGGGCGAAAAGAAAGTAGAAAAGAAATTAGAGAGCAGCTGCTAGTTTTTCTCTCTTTCTCTCTCTAAAGACAAAGAATCCTTTTTGTTGGCAATTCAAATTTTTTACTTCAAGCACAAGTGAAATGCATACAAAAAAGGATCCTTTTTGGAATTCTCGCAAGTCTTCTGCCGCGGAGAAGAAAAAGGCCGATCGACCGAAAGTCCCAGCGAAGCAGCAATTACGAAGAAAACCCAGTGAGCCGGCAGCATCGTCTTTGAAATGTTTTACAAGCAAAGGAATATAAAAGTGTGCGGACGGAATCGGTGGTGCAGAAAAATCAGCAGCTGAAAAAAATATGTAATGGATATTCGATTTGATTTTCACTGTGAGCGAGCGAGCGAGCGACCGACGCACTCGTAGAAACATGGCAAAGAGTGCTTCTGGTTTGCGGCTGCTGGCGCAGGACAAGAGATAAATGCACGCGACGCACTCAACAGTGGACAGCTTTATTGATGTTTCAATTTTTAAATCCCGGCCAGAGGCAAAAAAGACGCAGCAGATTGAATAGTATGAAAAAAAAAGTGAAAAACTGATGCCTCCAACATTGAAAAAAATATGATATAAATGAATGAGGATAAACATTGACTACATAAACGAGCTATGTCAAGCAAATGAATAAATTTGCTATCCAGTGGCATAGAATGACTATAAATAAGAATTAAATTAAACTAGTTGCTCTCATTAAGTTTATATTTGGACAACCCATGAAAAGTGAGATAAATAATTATAACTTTAATTGAAATTAATAAATGAAAAAAATTAATAAATTTGATCAATAATAAACTGATAAAAAGTTTTTTTAATATATAAAATTACAATACTTGCTCAATAGTTATATTATTTATGATAAAACAATACTTATCTATTATTTGTTTGAACTTACCTGTTTGGCGAAAATTTCAGCACCACTAGGCAAAAAGTGCTTCTGCATGAGATTAGGCGCTAAAAGTTGGCTGCAATCAGAAAGAAATTGGATTACAATCGGGCGTGGCTGCTAACGAATTGAAAAAAGGGGCCGCGAGCACGCACTTTAATGAAGTCGACGCTTGACTTAGCGGCAGCAATTAGAATTTATAGCCGTTCGCTTATCAAAATAAAGCAGTCTCAGAGATGGAAAAGAAATTATCCTCGGCAAAGAAGGAGAGCGAACATGCGACGGACAGACGCGAAGAAGGGCGTCGGAGAAAACGGAAGATTAATTGGGAACGTGCTTTATTAGGAACCGCTTTTCTCGCCGGCTGCCATTGTCAGAGGCCGGATTATTTTACTCCACCAGGTCAGCCCGACCGACGAGCAGTTTAATAAAACTTGGTCGTTTGTTCTGTGCGAAAAAAAAAGGGAGAACGCTTCCTTTTCGCCGAGAAGATTGTTCTCGCAAATCAACCGTTTTATGGCTGACAAATTTCGCAGTAGTAATGAGCTTTTGATTGCTACCCGGTGCTTTATTTTTAGATAAAACAAAAACAGTAGACTCGGAGGGATTTAATTTTGACTCAATTGGAATGTGCAAAGCGACTCAAACGAAAACAGGATCTTTATTGGCAGGGAATGCCTTTGTGAAGGGAGCGAAAATTCTCAGAAGACCAGAGACGAACTAAGCATCCGATAATGCTTAGTCAAAAATGTGTCTTAGGAAGATGTTATGGAAAGAAAAAAGGTGGAAAGGAAAAGTATTAGTTGTTTGAAAAAAATTTATAATAATTTCACTGATTAAAAAGTTAAATTATGTATTAGATGGATTGAAAATTTGTTGAAATTACTGATAAATTGATAAAAAGCAAGGCTTACTTATTCATTCTTGAAAAACTAATATTATTTTGTTATGAAGGGGCAAACTTTTAACGGAAATGCTATGATTTTTCGCTCAACGATTTATAGAAAAATGATTCTTGCGCGGCATTCGAATTGGCCATAACTGTGAGCGAAATAAGGGAGTTGTGATTTACTTTGGTGTTTAGAGCGCACCACGCATAAGTCGCGCCCCCTGCTCTCGCCAACCATTTCCATGCCTGAGATAAATTTTTTGCCCAGCCCAAGCTCTCTGCCGCTCTTGGTGCGCTTCTTTTGCTTTGTTATTTATGAGACACGCGGTCCGCTGTCGCTAACCCTATTAACTTTTTATTCATACGCTCGCTCTCGCCTGTCGATGAAAAATTATTATAATCGCCTTTCGAACTCTGCGGAGCTTGAAAAGTTGTCTGAAAGAGAGAAACGGAGGGAAAATTTTCAAAGGGGAGACTTACGTGTTAAGCTCGAGGTCCAGCCGGAACTTGTGATTGAAGGCCTTTATGAGAATTGAGGTGCGGTGATAGTGTTTACCCGTACTCTGAAACAAACAAATGGTTGATTAAATATTTTTCAGAGAACAGGAAAATGCAAATAAGAGAAAATACAATATTTGTAAATATTTTGAGATGGTACTGCATAGAATAACAAAGGAACCTCTAAGATTTATCAATTGCGTGCGTTTATTACAATACACAATTTTTCTATTTTTTATGTTCCCTGTAAACTACATCATTAATAATGTCTTAAAATATTATTAATTCTATGTTTATATTTTAAATACTTAATTGTTTTTTTTTAAATAACTGACATTTTTTATTGTTTGATGTCATTTTACAATAATTGATTAAAATTCTAAACTGTTTTATTTAAAATATAATACAAAATAAAATCAAACCATAACCGTCTTAATGTTTCGAGTAAAATAATAATTATTAAATCCACCAATTTTGTCCTTTTCCTGTTGTCAATTATAATTAATTATGAAATCAAAATTTAATTAGTATGTAGTTATATGTAAATGCCTGTGTGATATATCAAATATCAATAAATATAATTTGCTACTAAATGTTTGCTATTTTCTGATGAAGGTTTTCAAAACTGAAAATTAAAAATGAATAATTATAATCATTATAATTATTGTTTATTTGACCAAATTGATAGGGTCCAAATAGGGAAATCTTCATATTTCCTAATTAAACCGTCTCCTCGATTTTGAGGAGGGATCGCATTTTATTGTTGTTATGCACATTTGGATCTTTGTTTTGTGCTACGGGGCCATTCGGTTGTTTGCCCACGCAGCTTCTATTTTAGCGGCAGACGGCGCGCCGGCCGAGACAATCGGCATGAGAGGCGCGCGGTGGCGGCGGCGGCGGCAGGGAGGTTGTGTCCTCGCTGCTGCTGCTGCGTGTGTTTCCATGGCTACCTCTTGTGAGATCTTAATTGAAAGGCAGGCCTCGCTCACTCGCTCGCTGATGAATCAATAAAACACGACGACCGACCACACCGGCAAAAAACATCTGATGCGCGGCGGCCCGCGAGTCGCCGAGGGACCCTCACGAAAAAAAAGAGGCCCCCGCGAAATTTGCACCGGGCAAAAAGGGGGAGCTCTTTGGCGCCGCAGAATCGCTTTTTAATGAGCTGTTGACACGTTTTGCGCGCCCCCAGCTCTTTTTGCCTCACAATTTCTAACCCTTTTTGCAGAAGCTCACTCAAATTAATTAGTCGGCACTCTAAATTTCACGCCCAGGGTTTCGAATCAATTTCCAGCAGAAAGGTCTTTTGATGTTGTTCCACGGTTTGAATTTTGGCACAAAATTAAACTTGTATGAAACCTGAAACTATAAACCTCTTGAACTTTGACCTTTTTCGCAAGTTTTCGTGGGATAACCTTTCAGGCTGTCCTCAAACTGCGCAGTTACAAGGAAATCAACGAGGAAATATTGGCATAAATTTACTTCCTACTTATGTATGATCCACACATCATTGGAAATAGGACCCCCAAAAACAGTCACATATGATGAAAAAATACGAAATCAATAGAGAATGCAGGCACTCTGTATATAAAATTAACAATAAGAAAGGTTCATGTATGTATGACTTAAAAATTTTTTAATTGATTTTATTTGTGCAAATTATCCATACTTATAAAGAAATTCTGCTTTAATTAAATATTGTAATTTACTAATTTTAACTGTTTCTTTTAAACTCCTCAAGTTCATAAGCAATAAAATTGTTAATTTTTTTTTTATTATTATTATTGAACAAATCTTCCCTGTTGAACTCTAACATTTGTGTTTATTTCGAGGAAAAGGAATTTAATTATAAATAAGGTTTCCTCTACCATCTCCGCAGTTAGAGATCACATTTCTGGTAGAGATCGCTACGCACAAAGATCTTCTTTGTCGCAAACACCAATCAAAAACAATATGCTTTAAACTTCTCCTTCTCCTTTCCACCGACTTCAAAGTCTCGCCAGGCCAGTCTCGTATGAGCAGGAAAATAAAACTTTTGCATCTCTCCAACGAACAAAGACAGGCACGCACCAAAAGAAGCTTTCGTTCGAACCTCAAAATAGATTATTAGTCGCAACTCCACAAAAGGCGGGTGGAGTCAATTTCAAAGAAAGCCAGGACCACAAAAAATCCGCTCTCGAAAATAAGAGAGTGAAAAACCCAGTCGTGTGTGGGAAAATTCTTGGCAGATTAATGTCCCTTTTGAAGGCTGGCGTGTGATTATCCAAGGAGAGAAAATAAAAAAGAGAGGGCGTTAATGAATCCAAAACATCCAAAAACGCGCGCTTGCTCGCTCGCTCGCAGACTCGTCTCATTTTTAGATTTTTTTTTTTACCAGCAGAAGCCGCTTTCATGTTTCCTCATTTTTTTTTGTTTCCACCTAAAAACAAAACAATCCAGCTTCTCTACTCCCTTTCTGGTGTCGTTTTAATTTAACGCCAAAAGGCCGGAGGCGGAAAGAGGCCAAAAATCTTCCCGTGCGCCCCTTAACGCCGAGCGGATTTATTTGCGGCCAGGAGAAATGACAAGCTCAATGCATAAAAATTCGGCTGATGGCACCGGAGAGCAGAGGTCTCTGCGGAGAAAGTGAGATGACGACGAGAGGTGCGAGAATCCAATCGCATATTGCGAGCAGCCGCGCGGAAAGCGGCAATGTGACGTCTTGCCGAAATTACGTTATCATCCGACTCTGCCGCTCTCCGGTGAAAATAAGGTGCGAGACTCTGTCTTTCCGTTGGCTGCACACCTACTATCGGTCAATCAAATCAGCCCCATGTGAGAATTTCAACCTTATCTGTGAGTGCAACTCACTTTTGATAATCGAAAACTTTTCAAGCCTGTATCATTCATTTTTTTATGTTCAGTTGGAAAAAAAGTTGACAAAAATTTGGGAAACTTATACATTGAATATTACATAATTATGTAATATTTATTAAATTAAATAGTTAATAAGTATTTATTTAAATTTTGAATATCTATAGAGAGGCCAACATATTTTAATTTTGTTCAAATATGATATTTTCATTTTAATTCTCAATAAAACTGATTCCACGGAATCCATGTTTTTTATGAAATACAGCCCGTTCCCAGAACATTTGAAGTCATCTCAGCAACACAGATTGGATTCCGGGCAAAATATTGCGCCGCTCCGATAAGCGCGGGTGGTCCGTTGTAGCAAAGGAAGACGAGAGCTCGCTCTCGTGTTTCATTTATCATAATTGGTTCAGAGGAATAAGACGGGGAAAAGTTTTTGGGGCCTTTGTCAGCAGCCAATATCCAAGATTGCTTTTCTTTTCTACGCGTTGGCTGAGAGATGTTTTCTTCTTCTGCAGCTTCTCGAAAAACAAAAAGTGAAAAAACATTCGACAAGCCGAGAGCGAGTTGTGAAATTTGCACAGAGTTTTGCACAGGTATTTTTGCGCAACAAAACACCTCTGAAAGGAACGACATTGTTTACAAGTTGTATTTCGGCGAAAGGAAGGAAAATGCTGACTCGGTGTGCGGGAAAAGCAGTGCTATTGACGTGATGGATTTTCTATTACATAAATAGCAGAGCTTTAACGATGTTTCCTTTTGCGAGAGAATGAACGAACGAAACACAGCCTCTTTTTTGTGCTCGCTAAAAGTATAATGTGGAACATCAACGGCGGCAAAGGCAGCGCCAGATATAGATACATATGTAATAAAACGCATTTTCCGTACCCGGAGCTTAAGATACCGCGTGTTCTTCTCTATTCCTGCCTCTCTTCTCATGATTTATAGACCTCGGCCGAAGGGAGAGAGAAAGAAAGAGAATAAAAGCAGCAAGTAGTGCGCGCGTTTCTGCTCTCCTCGGCTTTTAAGGAGCTCCAAAACAATCATCATTCAATCACAATATATCTTCTTCTTCTCGCAGAGTTCACATCTGCTGCTGCCGCTGCGGTAACGACGGCAAACATTGGAACGTCTCTCTCTTGGCAGATGGATATTTGCGCAAACAACGCGGATAAGGAGGATAAGGAGATGCGCGCCGCACAATTTGCAAAATGGAAGAGACGGTATTGTGCGGCCACTCAAGTGCGCGTTCGATTCGATTGACGTATTTTGTTTGCCGCAGAGCAGTCGGACGGATGATGAATGTCGGAGTTGGCGAAATAAAAATACTTTTGATATAAATGGCGTTCCCTCCACTCGTCCCGTTCGCTCTTGCTAGTTCGCCAAATTTATGTATGAGAGTCGGAAAGCTTTTATCTGCAAATGGAAAATACACATCCGATAAATTTAGTTGCAAGCGAATTTTTCATTACGACTCGCACGATTAATGTGCGAAGTGCTCAATGTGCTGCGTTAAAATTCAATGCATCATCCGTCAATTATTTACGAGTGGTCACTAATGAAAGGCTCAGTCAAGTGTGAAAGTGTGAAAGAACTGAGATTGATTTTATTGTTAGTTTCAATTGTGAATGATTTTAACTATAAATATATAATCACTCCGAAAGAAACATTCATAACTTTTAATAGCTTTGATTCAAATAAATAAATTAAAGAATATGTTATTTAATTTTTAAATTTTTTTCTCTCACAATTTCCTCAATTTTTGCTGTTTCGTATTTATTTGACATTTGTCGCAACAACAAGTCGAGGCGCATTCAGTGGGTGCCTGCAAGATACATATCAGGATGAGTGATGCGCGACGCAATAAAACCTCGACCGTGCTCGCTCGAGATAAACGGCAGTGGTGTTGTATATGTGTGTGATTTTTGTCACCACCACCACAAAAAGCCGGACCTTTCGCCTCAGTGCGTGCGTATTATTATTATTTTTATCGTGCCGGGCGCCATAAATTTGCGTGGTCAATTCCAGCACCTGCAAAGCCCCACGCCAATTGTGTCCAAGTAAAAAATAAAACCCCACTCTGGAAATAACTTCTCCACCAGGAGAAGAGAGAGGATTTGCGGCAGGTGCGACGCGAATTTTTCCCTTTTGGACGGCCCTACTTTTCCACGCACGTGTCACCATAAATAAAAGTAGCGTGAAATACAATTTG